TCATGAACATTTTCAGCATTAATTACCAGCCGAGAGGGAACCAGCCAGCTATCTTGTCTGAAACGCTGGGGCTGATGTTTCAGGGCTGTTGTTTTTTTTCCCCCTGAGCTGGTGCTTAGGTAGAGATGGGAACAGAGCCAAGAAAGAATGGGCAGAACAGGTACGATAATTAAAGGAAAAACAAAAACCAAAAAACCAAAAAAACCCAAACCCTTGATCCTGGCAGCCATAGCTCCTTCCAGGAGCCTCTTGGCCAATCTTTTTCTGGGATCTTCTGTCACGTGACACCACGGATGCCAGCCTGTCTGAAATGGGAACTGGAGGTCAGGGTGGCTATAAATGGTTTCTGTGGGTTCAGCTGGAGGCCCAGTCGGAGGTGATAGTGGCGTTGGCTGGGCCATTCCATGACTGCTTATTTATTAGGTGCCATTCATGTGTCAGCACCGAGACAGGGGCTATAAAACAGAAGCAAACATCACGTAACAGTTCTGCTCCTGTGGGCGGACAGTCTAGCTGGGGGTGGGGGAGACTAGATAGGACTAATCAGTTCATCAGACAAATAGCCATGTGATTACAATTGGGGCTGACTCTGAGCAAGAAAGGCTGGGTGCTAGGAAAAGGGTGTGTGGGCCGGGGAGGGTGCAGTTAGAAGGGCTCTGGCTAGTCCTTCCTAGAATATCATAGCTGTCGGGTGGGTTCCAGAGGGAGGCAGCTGGGCCAGGCAAACTGAGCAAGGGGGCCTCTGGGCCGGCAGAGTTTAGAGTTTGTCCTAAAGCAATTGGAAAAATGAGAACCCATTTTGGTTTCTAAACTGGGACGTGGGATAATTAGATTTACAACTCAGAACACTCTGGCTGTAGGGGGGAGGACAGATCAGAGTGGGCAAGGAAGGATGCGGGGTGATGGAGCCCTTGGGAGGCCTTTCAGATGGCACGTGGGTGGTACATCCAGGGGACCTTAGCATGAAGCCCCAGTGCTTGGAAGGGGCCTCGTTGATGGTTCTCCTCAGCCAGCTCCAGCCCAGGGCCTCGTGTCTTGGAAAACATCCATTGAGAAGCCTTGCTCTGCCACCTCATGACCAACTCATCGTAGTTGGTCCAGGACCTGCCTGGTTTCGGCCCTCTAAAGTCCCCATTCCCCGGAAACCCCAGGATGGTTGGTCACCCGACTCTGGGACAGGATTAAGTGGGGCCAAAGAGCCAGCTTCCCTCACGATGAGACACTTCTCTGCATCTTCTCCCCAAGCAGCCTGGACACAGGCTTCGCAGCTGATTTGCTGTGTGGCCTGGAAGAATTTACGTGGCCTCTCTGGGCCACTGTTTCCTCATTTGAAAACATGGAGTTTGACCTGGAGAGCCTCTTGGTCTCCTGGCAGCCCTGATTTCTGGGCTCGGCTGCTGCATTTCAAAGCTTAATCAATGCAGAGGGCTGAGCATTGAGGATAGGGCCATCTACCCACGGTGCGGCCTCGGGCAAGGTACCTTGCCTCTCTGTTTCTAGTTTCTTCTTCCATAAAATGAGAATAATAGTACTTACCTCATGGAAATGTGAGCATCAAGGTAAGGGAAATTATTCTGTGTTTGGCATAGCTGGATACTCTGGTTAACTAAAAGTAAGACTGGGAGTTAAGATTTTCATAAGTAGGGGCACCCAAGTGGCTCAGTCGGTTAAGCATCTGCCTTCGAGTCAGGTCATAATCCCGGGGTCCTGGGGTCAAGCCCCACGTCGGGCTTCCTGCTCAGTGGGGAGTCGCTTCTCCCCCTCTCTCTGTCTCCTGGCTCTCGTTCTCTCTATCTCAAATAAATAAAATCTTAAAAAAAAAAAAGATTTTCGGAAGTAGTGACTGCCAGTTTTCAAAACAATGTGGATGTGATTAAGCACATTTACATTTCAAGTTTTGTGACATGCACTTTATATTTACCATTTATACTCTGCTAAGATTGCCTTTTACCTCTGAGTGTCTGGTTCCATGAGGTGGAGACTAGGCCCTTTTTGCCACTGTCCCCCCAGAATAGAAATTTGTTGAGTTAGGCGAGGTCACCTTATGCCCATTGTACAGGTGAGAGGATCGAGGCTCAGGGAAGTTAAAGGTCCTGCCATTAAGTGGTGAAATCAGAATTCACACCTGGATCTGATTCAGGGTCCTGTTCTGTCCGCGAATTGACCTCAACTTCCTCAGGGTGTGCTTGGGTGGGACACGAGTGATGGGGAAGGGGGTGCAAGGGAAGGGGGTCCCCTGTGAGGATCTGACTAGGAATTCTCTGAGGGGAGCAGCTACAGTGGCCTGGCATGACACCAGCAGCTGGCCTGATCCTCATGTGGACAGGAGCCGCGTGGAGGCTGTTCGCTCCTGTGGCTGGTTGCCATGGAGACGGCTGTGCGTGTGCATGTGCGTGTACGTGTGTGCATGCCGAGATGTACCTCAAGCTGGCCACCCAGGCTCGCCCCGGAGGTGCTAGCCGTGGGCGAGAAGACCAAGCTGAGGCCCTTGAGAGCAGGGAAGGAAAAGCCTGGAATTCTTATTTTTTATCATGAAAAACTTCAAGCAAGTGCAAGAGTAGAGTCTACGGTACAATGAACCCCAGCTACCCATCACCCACCTTCGACAATCCCCAGCTCTTGGCTAATTTTGTCCTATCTCTACCCCCCCTCCCTTCCTCCCTCATCCCACATACTTCGAAGCACATTCCAGACAGCAACCATTTCTTCTGCAAATATTTTAGTATATGACTCAAAAAAAAATTTTTTTTTTAAAACCACCATCACCCCTCCTAGAACTAACAGTAGTGCTTTAATATTAGCAAATATCCAGTGTTCCAATTCCTCTGGTTGTCTCATAAATGTTTTCTTTACAGTGGTTAAAATCGGGACGCATATAAGGTTCATACATTGTGACTGTGGATATGTCCCTTATGTCTCTGTTAATCTGTAGGTACTCACCTCCTCCCTTTTTTGTCTCTTGCTATTTATTTGTTGAAAAAACTGGGTTGGTTGCTCTGTGGCCTATCCTACAGACTGAGTTTTGCTTATTGCATTCCCATATTGCTGTTACATGCGTTCCTCTCCCAGCTCTATTTCTTATAAATCAGTAGCTAGATCTAGAAGCTCACTTAGATTCATGTTTGGTGTGTGTGTGTCTGTGTTTGTGTGTGTGTTTGTATAACTTTATGGTGGCTGCTTAGTATTCCATTTGAAGGTACATAATGTCTGGCTGTCCCTCTTTGTGATGTTAGCAGCCATTGATGATGACTATCCAGATCCACTGGAGGTTGCAAAATGGTGGCATTCTAATTCTATCCTTCTTTGTTTGTTAGCTGGAATACTTCCATAAAGGGAAACTTGCCCTTATCAACTATTTGGTTGCTGCAAGGTATAGTTCATACCAGAAAGGATAAATGCTTGGTTTTTTTCCCTTTATTGGACATTGTCAAAACAATGAGTTCGTTCCTCAGCATCCTCCAGAGATGACAAACGAGTTTATGTTTTTCTATTTTTCTTTCTTTTTAAAAAATTTATTCATTTGAGAGAGAGACAGAGAGCACACAGGAGTGGGGGGAGGGGCAGAGGGAGAGGGAGTAGCAGACTCCCTGCTGAGCAGGGAGCCGGATGCAGCACTCAATTACAGGACCCTGAGATCATGACCTGAGCTGAAGGCAGATGCTTAACCGACTGAGCCATCCAGGTGCCCCTATTTTTCTATTTTTCTAAATATCTTGGTGACCTCATAGATTTGGATGTATATGACATGTTTTAATCCATGACAGTTATTATTCTTATTGATACTCAAATTGTCCCATCTTTGGCCAGTGGGATCCTCTTCACACTGTCCCCTGTGTCCTTTTTGACATGATCCCAGAAGTCTTTGACAGCCCCATGTGACCTGGGTGACCAGATATTCCAGGCTCACCTGTACATTTCCTGCCTCACATCTGGAATCAGCCATATCTCCACAGAGCCCTGGTTTCTGATTAAAAGTGGTGTTTAGAGACCATAATGTGGGTGCTGGGAGTGCTTAGATAGCTGCTGAACTGGTCATTCTTTCTCACCTTTTCAGGAGACGTGGTCAGAAACACACCCTTCATTTTGTCAGGCAAAATACAGCAGGATTTCACCCGATACTTTCAATTCAAATCTGGGGCTATGGGGTTTTCACTCTGTCTCTCTGATTTTGCGTCCGCAACTCCTTTCTTCCAGGACAGTGTGACAAAGCCTGCTTCTAAAAGCAGAGCTCTTTGTTGTGTGTCCCCTCGAGCAGGAAGCATGTGAGAAAGCACTTCAGTCTGTCCCCTCAGACATGAACCTGAGCTCTCTGAGGAGGACGTTTAGAGCTGGTCCCCGGGGGGAAGCCCACTTCTGGGTCCACAAGGGGGCCACGTTCTCACGGCAGATGAACCAGCTCCTTCCCCCATCCCGGGTGTGGATCCTCTCGTCTAGCTGCTCCCAATCCTGCCTGCACACTTGAATCACATGAGGACTTACAAAAAACCCTCCCGGCCACAATTAAGTCAGAATCCCTGGGGCCGTCCGGGACCCTCACATCAGTATTGTTTTTTAAAGCAGTCTGGGTTATTTTAATGTGTACCCAGGGTTTAGAATCACTGCTCTAGTGTCTGCTTCTCAGCCGAAGGAAGAGAAGAAAGAAGCCAGGGGTGATAATAGTGCTTCCTTCAAAGAAGCTTGGGTTTGAATCCTGACGCTCCCAGTTCCTGCCTCTGAAATCACTGAAAGAGCACCAATCCCTCGAACTTTCTGCGGTAATCAAAATGGTCTGTATCTCTGCTGTGCAGTGTGACAGCCACTGGCCCCAGTGAACTAGTTGCTGGTGCAACCCAGGCAGTGAATGTTCGGATTTTTTAACTCTTAGCTAATTTACACAAAAATAGCCGCATATGACTAGGAGCTACAGTCTTGGACAGCGCCACTCTGGAAAATGACTTAACAGCTACAAGCTTCATATCCGTAAAATAGGGACTAATAAGAGTTACTTCACTGGGCTGTTGTCAGGATTAGAGATAATGTATATTAAGCACATGGTGAAGACAAGGCATTCAATGAAAGGCTGCTTCCTTTCCTTATTAACATCGGCCCGTCACTCTTGAAAAAACAAAAACAACAACACAAAAACTTGCCCAGAAATGGAGTGCTCAGAAGCACCCCACCACGGAGACTAAAAATTCGAAGCCGTTCCAGAGAAACTCTTGGAAAATGTTCCTTAATTGTAGAAGTTCAATTGCAGCAGGAGGTTATCAGTTGCGAGGGCTGTATTTTGTTACAGATCTAGCCGCAGCTCAATAAATTAAGCAATCACTCCAAATAACATGTTGCTTTAATCCCCTCTTGGAACAATTTCAAGTTGTTTGGTTTTATATTTGCACAGCCCTTGAAAGGAGACTCAACGTTGGTCTCATTTCTTTTTCCTCAATCCGTCAGACCCTCTCCAGATAGATCTCAGCAGGACTAGCAGGAGGGAGGATTCCGAGCCGAGCAGAACTCCTTTTATCAAACCTGCAGTGTTTTCCATCTTCTGGCCTTTATGTGCTCCACGCCTCGTTCACTAAAATTACTGGCAGGTTCATCTGCAACTAACACAGAAAGAGACACCTCTCAGCAGCCGGTTCTGGACGTGAAAAGCAAACTTGCAGTGGCTTTTCCATTCTCCTCTTCTCCCTAGTGGTTTATAATCTCACAGTAGAATTTCATTTCCCCTAGAAACTTGGCACCGGAGGTGTCAGCCGGGGAACATATTTGTTTGTGTAAATTAAAAGGAGAATATGTTTTGACCATATTTAAGTTCTAACTGCGCTAAAGAAATAAATACTGACTTGCGCAACGCTTCTCACTGCATGGCTCTGGCTCACCTCCCCAAACTCTGCCTTTGTTTATAAAACCCAAGCTGATGAGAACTCTGAGCAGCTTATCACCTCAGAAAGGGGCCACGTCCACCCCCACCCAGGTCCACATGGCAAGTCCGCTTACCTCATTTGGGACTTTTTTCCCCTGACACACTGCATCCTTGCTGGGGTGGGCGAGGCCGTGGAAACGGGCTCCCCCACCCATGCGCTCTTGATGGGCATTGGGCAGTAGCTGTAGAAATAAAAAATGCACGTATCCTCTGGCCTGAGACATTCTGCTTCTAGGAACGTATCCTGTGAGTATACTTGGACACATGCCAAAGAGAGTATATGTTATAATGGCAAAATCCTGGCGTTAACTGAAATGCCGGCTGGTAGGGGACAGGTTAAGTATGGTGCAATGCTAGAAGGCATTAGAAAGAATGAGGTGGGTCTGCGGGCTGTCACGTCTTCAGGATATATTGGAACGCCCCCAGCTTGCTTAATGTTATGAGCAAAAAAAGTGAATGCACTTGAACAGGCTTTGAAAATGTATGGAGATTATGCAAACTGCATCCAGCGGTTACTGTTTAGAAAGCAAAATTAAAGATAAATCACCAAGGGGGTGTTCCTTCATTTCCCACATTATCCTCTTCTGTACTCTTTTTCTTACCACCAGCATGGTATTATTTTCAAAATCTAGGGCAATTAAATAACCTAAAATCGTGTTTTTGATATGATTTCCACACTCTGGAGCAATATAAAATGATAATACTCTTTTCATTACATATCTGTCAGGCTAGTGGAGTGGTGGTGGGAATCCTTGCTTTTCTGGTTTCTTTCTTTCTTTCGAGAGAGAGGGAGTGGGGGAGGGGCAGAGGGAGAGAGAGAATCTTTTTTTTTTTTTAAATTTTTAAAGATTTTATTTGAGAGAGAGAGAGTGAGTGAGCGAGAGAAAGCACAAGCCAGGGAGGGAGGGGGAAAGGCGGAGGGAGAAGCTGACTCCCTGCTGAGCAGGGAGCCCCATGCAGGACTCGATCCCAGGATCCTGGGATCCTGACCTGAGCCAAAGTCAGACACTTAACCGACTGAACCACCTAGGTTCCCTGAGAGAGAATCTTAAATAGACTCCATGCTCAGCTCAGAGCCCGACGCAGGGATTGATCCCATGACCCTGAGATCATGACCTGAGCTGAAATCAAGAGTCGGATGCTTAACTGACTGAGCCACCCAGACAGCCCAGCTTTTCTGGTTTCTTTATGCAAATAACCTGGAGTGGGATGCACGGTGGTCCCAGAGAGACACCAGATATGCCCTCTTCCCAGTCTCTGGAACGTGTGAATATGACCTTATCTAGCAAAAGATGGGCTTAAGTCAAGGATCTTGAGATGAGTTTATCCTGCATGATCCAGAGGGGCACTGCATGCATCCTTAGAAGAGAGAAACAGAGGCAGACACAGCAAGAATAAGAACGCATGAAGACACAGGCAGAGATTGGAGTGATGTGGGCACAAGTCGAGGACCATGGGAGAGGCAAGGTACAGATCTTCCCCTGAAGCACCTGGGGGGAGAGTGGCTCTGCCAGATTACGGACTTCTAGCCTCCAGGACCGTGAAATCCTACCTTTCTGTCATTTTAAGCCTCTTAGTTTGTATCAATTTGTTACGGCAGCCCTAGGAAACTAACACATCACCTGGCTTTTGTAACCCCTATAAAATGCATGAAGCACATAGGTACTTTACGAATAAGTTTGGTAGTCCTGTGTGTTTGGGGGAACACAAAGAATGCATTCATGCATTCCACAGACAGATATTTCTTCAGCATCTAGTTGGTGGCAGGCACGGGTCCAGGTCCTGAGGAGACAGCAGAGAACCAGAGATGCCTGACCACCTGGGGCTGACACATAAGCGGGAGAGAGATCATTAACTAGAGAGAAGGACCCATGATGGTGGCAGGGGCTGAAGAGAACAAGAAAACATGGAAGGAAGACAGGACCCTGGGAGAATGGGGAGGGGACACTGGAGTAGATGTGGGCAGGGGCTTCGTGTCCACCTGAAGGGAGAGTATTGAGCAGAGGAAGCGAGCACAGAACTTGACCCTACCGGGCACCCATTGGTTGGACCAGAATAGGTAGGAATGAGCTACCCTTCTCCCCCTTTTTCCTTCCCCACCTCCCTTCCTCCCACGTTTGTTGTCTGCCTACTGTGGGCCAGCAGCTGGGGACGCAAAGATGTCCAGGGTCCCCATGCCCAAGATCCTCACTCATGGCAGGCAACAGGCATGAACAGATCACCACAAATATAACACGGTAGGCATGGGAGCTTTGGCCAGGATAAGCTGCATGCGTGGCCCATGGTGGAGAGTAGGGTGGGGAGGAGAGGTGGGGGTACGCTGGGGGCGAGGCTGGGGAGACAGGCAAGCAGGAAAAGGGCCTGATGTACACGTTCAAGAGCAAGGGCGTAGCTCTGATTCAGTGGGAAATGAATGGGCGATGGGGTAGCACATGGACGCGTGTCTGGGGATTCTTGTATTCTCACGTACGGCAGGCACACTTCGGGGACAGTGAGTTCTGAGGATAACCTACCCCTTTTAGCTTCACACAGTCCACAGAGAGGACACAGTCCCCACATCCTGAATTGGGGTGCTCTGGGCTGCACAAAAACCAGAGTTGATATGACTGAGGCAATATGGGGGATTCATCACTCTGGTAGCTGTGATGAGGGAAAAGGCTGAGCTGCTCCTGGATCCAGCACGTGTAAGGCCGTGGGGTCAGAACTTAGCGCCGGCCTCTCTCCTTCCTCCCCACCCCCATCCCATCTCTCATCGCTCCCTCTCTCTGCTTGTTGACCTCAATCTCTGGGGCCACGGGCACCTCTGGACGCTAGAGAGTGGAGCTAAAGCAACCTTCCCGCCCACTCCAGGTAGGACAAGCCTCGATTGGCTATGCTTGGGTCATGTGACCACACCTGGACCAATTACTGCTATCTGGCACCGAAGTGGGCTGCTGCGATTGGTCATGTTTGGTCACATGTCCGTGTTTGTACCAATTACTATAGCAGAGGGATGGGGGTCGTGGGTGGCCATCTTTGGTCGTATTCTCACCAGTGTCAGGTGTTTGAGCGGAAGTGGGGGAGGAGGTGTTTGCAAAATAAACCCCCCAAAACCCCTAAAACAAAAACCCCATAAATAATAAAAAACCCAGAGCCATCTCACTCCTCCAGAGACATCTGCTGGCTGTGCTTCTACATTTACTTGGCTGAGAATTGCCTCAATCTTGAGTCAGACGCTTTAAGATCCACTATACGGTCTCCCAACCCCCCAAGCTGCCCGCAGGATTTACTCAGACCTGTTGTAGTTCTTTTTTTTTTTTTTTTTTTTGCTACTGTCATTATTTATTTTAATCAAATTTAAAAAAAAAAAATTTTTTTTTTCATCTTTGGTTGATGATTGCCACTTCTGCTAAGGGTAGGAACTGCGCCTGTCCTTTTGAGGGCTGCATTGCCCCTGCTCAGTACAAAGCCCCTTCTATGGTGTAGGTGAGGAACTGAGGAGTGAGGGCACCTGGGTGGCTCAGTTGGGCGCCTGGGTGGCTCAGTCGGTTAAGCGACTGCCTTCGGCTCAGGTCATGATCCTGGAGTCCCAGGATCGAGTCCCGCATCAGGCTCCCTGCTCGGCGGGGAGTCTGCTTCTCCCTCTGACCCTCCCCCCTCTCATGCTCTCTCTCTCTCTCATTCTCTCTCTCAAATAAATAAATAAAATCTTTAAAAAAAAAAAAAAGGAACTGAGGAGTGAATGAACGTGCGTTCACTCATTGAACTTGCCGCAGAGAACAGGAGGAGGTACAAGGTCCTTACCTGTTCTTTCCTCAAGGAGTCCCTCTCTCCTCCCCGACCCCCTTCCCAGTCGTGTTGTATACCCCTCCATGACAACGCTCTGTTAATGTAAGTGCATCGCTGGGCATCATCCAAACACACACTGGGGGCTCTGAATCTCTTGGTGTCCTGAGTAAAGAGTATACATTCTTGCGGTGAGACTGGATTAGCACAAGAAATAAGGTTCCTTTGGTTGGTGGAGACTATCCTTGAGAAGGATAATGGAGCTGAGAGGGATCCGGTGCCATGATGGGTTGCCAGTGTCTGCCATGACCACCTGCCTCAAAAGGGCATCCCTAGTCCTGCCGCTGCTCTGGATGGTTTGCTAACCAGGGGGCCTCGTTCTGAAGACTGCAGCCCTGTCATCTGCTGTGAGATCAGAGGACACTCAGAGTCCAGGACAAAATGGTGTGCCTAAATAAAACAACTGCAGGCTCTTGGGGAGGAAGGCTTAAGGCAAATGGCTAATTTTTTTAAGTACTTATAACCCACATGTCAGCTGGGGTCATCTTATTTTTGGAGATTCAGATGGAACGGGCTTGAACTCTGTCCCTCATGCCACTGTCTCCCACATGGGAGACCCAACTTCTCTTGGAAACGTTCCAGGGATTGGGGGTGAGGGGTGCTTATGTCTGTCCTAGGCACCAAAGCTCTAAATTCCTGTGTCTAATGAATTAGTTCCGCTCGGGCACCCTTTTGCTGGCCTCATGGGCATGTGACACGTACAGTTGCACAGGGCCTATGTTTGGTTTAATGCTCTGCTGTTGTCACCTTGAACTTCTGAATAATTTTTGAACAAAGGGCTCCATATTTTAAATGTGCAAATTACGTAGCCAGACCTGCTTTGTTCAGGAGCTGTTTCTTTCCACCCCACGTTGACCCACTCGGTCCTCTGCCCCAATTCCTCTGATCTCCCCAAATTCTACCCACACAAAGATGTGGGCGGAGGACACTCTGAAGGTTTGGGACGGAAGAAAAGTGTTGAGCCCTCAGCCAAGTTAACAACATAAAGTCAGTGCTTGAATTGGCTTCGAACTCTTCGAAGAGTGACAAAGGGGATGGAGGGAAGGCAGATGACTCAGGACTGGCAAAGGCTGCTAACTGTTGATGATGGGTTCCAGTGCTCATTACAGTATTTTACTTACATTCAATATGGCGGGAAAGTAGAAAATACAAAGTAGAAAAAGGCAATATAAGACGTGCTTCTGGCAGCTCCTCAAAATGTTAAATATGGAGCTTCCATATGACCCAGAAATCACACTTCTAGGGTATACGCCGAAGAGAAATGAATACGTACGCCTACACAAGTGTTGAAAGCTGCATTATTCCTAATAGCCAGAAAGTGTTAACAATCCAAATGTCCATCACCTGACAAATGGATAAATAAAAAAATGGATACTATTCAGCCACAAAAAGGAATGAAGGAATGAAGCCCTGTGGTATGCTACAGCATGGAAAGACCTTGAGAACACAATGCTCAGGGAAAGAAGCCATTCACAAAGGATCATACACTGCTTCATGTGAAATGTCTAGAACGGGCAAATCTATAGAGAAGAAAGTAGATAAGTGCTTAGGGTGGGGGGAGGAGGATTAGGACACTGATGTTTCTTTTTGAGGTGATAAAAAGGTTCTAAAATTGACTATGATAATGAATACCCAACTCTATGAATATACTCAAAGCCATTGAACTGTCCACTTTAAATGGGTAAATTGGATGGTAAGTAGGTTATATCTCAATAAAGCTGTTTAAAAAATAAGTGATGCCCCCCTGCTTCTCCCACCAGTAATCCTTAGTCTTCAGCTTCTTGCCTTTTGGGAAATCCCCTTTCTCCTATACCCTCTCTCTGTGCGCGCGCGCACACACACACACACACACACACACACACACACACTGCTATCCTGCCTTTCGGTTACCTTCTTGTGCCTTAAGCTGTTTTTCATTCTCTTTCCATTCTCACAGACTTCAGAAAACTGCCTTCTCTGAGGAGAAGTTCCTTCCACAGCCAAGGTGCCCCAGTGAG